AGAAGATGCTGTTTCTCACGCCCAAATACTTGAAGTTCGACTGCAAGAGAGCAAAGAAATAATCTGCAACCTTGAAGTAAATACGGAAAAGGTAAGGAAGTGTCAAGAAAAGCTGTCAGCGGAAAATAAAGAGATTAGAGCGGAAGCTGAAGCTCTCAAAGCAGAAAAAAGCTCTCTAGAGGAAGAGCTGATCCAGAGAAAGAAGGTATCGGAGAGCATGGAGACGGAGCTCTTTAATTTAAGAAATGCTCTCGGACAATTGAATGATACAGTTGAGTTTACCCAGAGAAAACTGAATGAGACTATCGATGACAGGGATAATCTCCAAGATGAGGTTTTGTATTTGAAAGAAGACTTCAGGAAGATGACATCTGAGGCTAAAGAAATGGAAGCTAGGTACCTAGAAGCTCAACAGGTAGATAACAGCACAATTAGACTTGACAAGACACGTCCATTTTATTTGTCCATTTTGCAATACTTACTTAAATTTGTTTCTCCTATTCTCACAGATTGCTGAATCAAGAAAGATATATGCCGATGAGAGAGAGGAAGAAGTGAAGCTTTTAGAAGGATCAATTGAGAAACTTGAGTATACTATCAATGTTCTTGAAAACAAGGTTAGACTTAATAATTCTTTACTAACAGCTTAATTTAATTGATGTGTTTAATTTTATGACGGAAACGTTTTTCAATAGGTTAACGCTGTCAAAGGTGAAGCTGAAAGACAACGTCTGCAAAGGGAGGAGCTGGAAATGGAGCTTCATACCATACGCCAGCAGATGAAAAGTGCTAGAAATGCTGATGGGGAAATAAAAAGGTAAAAAATTAAGCAACCTAAATATACGTATATCTTTATAGTAACTCATTTCCTAGTTTGCATGTCAAAGAATTTTAGATGAAAAGCATATGGATCTTGAGGAAGCTAAGAAGCATATAGAAGCGCTTGAGAGAAATACGGCTGGCCAAAAAACAGAGGTACCAAAATTTGTTATTTTAACTAGGGATGATTCCTTAATGACAGTCTCAGAGTTTTTGATGGTATATGTATATTTACTCTCCAATAGATTACCCAACTCAGTGCGCATATCTCGGAATTAAATTTGCATGCAGAGGCTCAGGCTAGAGAATACATGCATAAGGTAAAGATGGTTCCTAATTGATATACCCTTAAAAGTTTACCAAAAGACTGGCATTACTAAGACTGATCCATTGCGAACAGGTCAAGGAGTTGGAAGCAATGGCTGAGCAAGTTAAGCCAGAAATCCATGTTTCTCAAGCTATAGATTCTTCATTGAGTAAAGGTTCAGGGAAAACTCGGGGTTCTGGCTCTCCTTTCAGATGCATAGGGTTGGGAATTGCACAACAAATGAGATCTGAGAAGGATGAGGAACTTGTTGCTGCAAGGCTACGAATTGAGGAGCTTGAAACTGTAGTTGCAACCCGGCAGAAAGAGGTAACTAGTAGAAACTGTTATCTATATGTTATATTGGAACATTTGGCATCCTTTTGGTATTTATTATCTAATCTCGTATTTCTGTTCCCAGATATTTTTGTTGAATTCAAAACTCGCTAAGGTGGATAGCATGACCCATGATATTAATCGAGTTTTGCTGGGAGTCAAACAGAATGTGACAAATTGTGCGGTAAGTACTTCTTTTAACTTCTTTCATTTTATCCCATGTTGTGTGTAGCTTTAACTTTTTTATGCGTCTGTAATTAAAAATAAAGAAATAATTTTGATATCTGTGGAACCTGGTTTACATTTTAGTCATTGTCTTGTTGTTCCTCTACTGTAGAAACCGCTAAATGGTAACTGAAATCTAATGACCCTTTTTTCAGTCATTCTTGGATAGTCAACAAGTATTGAAGATAGCAGAGATGCTTCAACTTAATAGTTCAGATTCACGAGAAAGGGTAATTTTCTTTGGATACATCCCCAGGAAGAAAGATTTATAAGTACGTGATAATAATCAATCATCTCTTGTCTGAAATTTTCTGGATATAGGATCTTGAAGTCTCTCATCTCAAGCGGCAACTCCATGAATACAATGAGGAAAGGCAAGGGTAAGCTAGTGATGCACTCGGCTAAATCTTCAATAGCAGAAATATCGATTCTGGCCACTTCCACATGTTTTATTATAGTTTCTTATACAATATCTCGATGCAGATGGATAGAGGAAATCGAAGGAAAGCAGACGGATTTAGTTACTACGCAGATAAAACTTGAGGAACATCGGCAGCATGAGCAGCTGCTTAAGAAAGAGAATGAATTACTTAAGGTTGGAAAATTAGGCACCATTTTTTCTTTTACTGTTACATAATTAAACAAAATAAATTAGTCTTCACAGAACGTCTCTTAATCTTCTCATTTTCAACAGAAGGAGAATCTTGGTCATAAAAGAAAAGTGATGGAACTTGAAGGAGAAGTGAAGAAGCTATCGTCCCATCAAAACCCTGAGTGGAGAACTCGTGATCAAGCTCGAATCAAGGCAAGAAATCTCTAACTTCCAGTACTTCGCTGTGTAGATATTTAGTTTCTCTTCTTTATTCTGGTACTTATTATTTCCCTTTCCTTTGTGTGTCATATGCAATAGGAAGAAAACAATGTGTTGAAACTTCAGCTTGATGAGCTCAATTTGAAGTTACGAAGAGCAGATGTGGGTGTTTCTCGTGCCAAAGAAGAGCTTGCTTGGTACCGAGAATCTTCTGGAAAGAACCTACATTCAAACTTTGACAAGACGCATCAGTTAAGTACCAAACTGAAGGAAACCGAAGAGGATAGAATGCAGCTTGCTCAGAAGCTATTAGGTCTCTGCATCAGTATCCTAAAGGTAAGAGGAACAGTCATAGCCTTTTACTGTAATAAGCTCTGCAATTCCGATGATCTTAAACTCCAAAACAGTATGTTAACATCAATCCATTATAACATCTTTGTGTGGACTCAAATTTCACTCAGGCAGCAGGTGTAACAGAAGAAGACATTAAAGACATAAACCCTGAAGTTGCTGAAGAGGCACTTGAACAGCTCAAGACGAAACTTGGTTTACTTGAAAGTGAACTAGAGCACTTTAGATTAAAGGTAAGATATATTTCCATTTGAAGCTTCAATTCTGTAGTAGCTACTCATTCATTCACAAATAAGTTTTAAGAGAGGCTTGTAAAAAAAATATTGATGCAGGGAAAAACAAAGAGCAGAAGAAGTAGGAATCCAGAGAGAAAGATGCCTGCAATGCCTTCCCCTCGAAGATCATGGAGCCAGAGTCCAAGAAGTATGTCTCAGGCTCCTTTTTTCTCTTCATTAGACAGGTGAAAAGAGGATATATGTTTTTACGAGAAACAATCCAGTCATTGTAAATTAATCAATGTTTCTATGTAAGTTATGTCATACTTGATCGGTAAATAATATTTATAAAAGCCTTTGATTGGTTGTTGCTTTAGAGTCTTTCCATGGCCATATTTTGGTTCAAAAGGATAGATCTCTCGTCCTCACCTTGATGGTGCATTGGTATACTCATATGAGATCCGACTAGTCGATTCAACAATTTACTCACCCTACACGAGGTATTACTATTACATTTGTAGCTATGGCTTCTTCTTTTTTTTTTCCTTGCAATCCTCGAGAACACTTGCTTGTCCCCCAAGCTACCCTTCACATTCAATCCCACCGACAAAAAGATTGTTTTAAATTTCTCGAAGAAATCTTCAAACTCGAATCAGTGTTCCAGAGTTGACGACCGAAGTGAGGAACTCGAAGAGATGAAAATGAAAGAAAATGCAGTTATATATATATAGATATATGTTATGTATCTCAATTTAATCAGTTAATTATTCCTATACATATATGATATATCACACTCGTTTTTATGACAAAATTGTATAATGTCTAAGGTTTTCTCGTATTCTTGCAGCCATGGACAAACTCAACGAGGATCTCAGCAGGAGAATCATGGAGTTGCGTATGGAAGTCATGGACGAGCGTAGGAAGATCCTTTGAGAACTATTCTTCGTCTGCGTCCTGTGGCGGAGAATTTTCTAACAAGCAAACTGGGGAATGGTCAGAATATCTCCTTCTGGTATGATAATTGGACGCCTCTTGGTCCCCTCATTAAGCTTCTAAATGAAGCTGGTCCTCGTTCTCTCTGCATTCCTCTGAAAGCTAAAGTGGCTGATGTCTGCTCTGCGGAAGGCTGGATTCTCCCTCAACCGAGGTCAGTGGAGGCTATGGCCCTTCACGCCCATCTCACCACGCTCGCCCTGCCAACAGCCTCTTCTCAGCCGGATTCCCACCTTTGGAAGGTTGAGGGAGTTGCTGGTCATTCTTACTCGTCGTCAAGAACGTGGGAAGTGCTTAGGCCTAAGAAACCGGAGCAACAGTGGACTAAGTTAGTCTGGTTTAAAAGAGCTGTCCCTAAAAACGCTTTTAATATGTGGATCTCTCACCAGAATAGACTTCCAACCAGACAAAGGCTTGCCTCTTGGGGTGTATGTGCCTCCTCTGCTTGTTGTCTCTGCTCTAATCAGGTTGAATCCAGAGATCACTTGCTCATTTCTTGTGCTTATGCCACAGAGATTTGGAAGCTTGTTTTTGCTAGGTTGAGCCCTTCGCTGCCCATATTTAGCAACTGGTCTGAGCTGCTCTCTTGGATGCGGAGAACAACTAATACAACCCCATCTCTCTTGAGAATGGTGGCTGCACAAGCCTCAATCTACCACATCTGGAAGCAAAGGAACAACATGCTGCACAACTCGTTTTTTATCCCTCCAGGGCCAGTTTTCAGAATTATTGACCGTGAGGTTCGCAACACAATCTCAGCTCATAGGCACAGAAGACGATGGCGTCATCTGATGCTTTTCTGGATTCAGTAGATTTCCCAAATCTTTTCCAAAACATATTGTAACCTTGTTTTATTTTTTGCCAAGGCTACTTTGCTTAGGTAGTACTATTTGTATTATCAAACTTTCATTTTTAAATGATATTCACATATTTAGCAAAAAAAAAAAAGATCCTTTGAAACATTGAAGCGGTCAAAAAGTAAGTTTAACAACTGATTTATTTACATTAATAGATAAGATCATTGTTTCTGATAGTTTATTGGTTGATTAATGATTATTTTTGCTATTATAGGATACTACTGATTTTGGTTTTTAGAAAAAACTTTTGTTATTCAACTTGTGATTTTAAAATCTTTTTGCAAATCCTATGTTATTGAATATTATTTTTACATGAAATCATTTAGGATTCCTTGTTATTCAATTTAGGATTTATGAGAATCATCTCAAATCCATTGTTATTCAAACTCAACAAAAAAAATATATTTCATGTTTTATTTATGCTCATTTGTAAGTATATTCATTATCAAAAATATGTATTAATGGGACAAAACAGTATTAAAAAAAAAGTAAACCAAGCGACTGATAAGAAGAAAATTATAAAACGAGAAACGAACACTACAAATTGTTTTGAACTTTTTTCTAATGCTTCTAAGAATTATCAAAGGAAACAGATATAGATATATATATATATATATATATATATATATATATAAATGCTTTTTAAAAGTTTTAGTTGTTAGTAAATTATTGGATTCTAAATTAAAATAAGTTTAGATTTGCCCAAAGATCCTTTAATAAACAAAAACGTGTAGAGAATATTCGAGTTAGATATAGTTAACTATATAACAATCTTGGTATCCTTCAATTTTAAAAAAAAATATTTGAAAAGATTTGGGTGAGTTTTTTTAGGTATACTGGGAAATAAAACTAATATTTTCTTTTCTTTTATAACAAAATTAATATTGGTAAATCGTATCCCTATAAATTCAGCGACAAAAGTTGAGTTTTGTTTGGCAAAAGAGAAGACACAACAGATCTCTCGTTCTCGACGATGGTGCATTCGCATTACTCATTTGTAATCCGACAAGTCCGTTTACGTTTATTCTTAATTCGTATTCCAGGACACTTGAAGAAGATCAGGTAAATTATCTATGTTTTCTTCCACTCTAATTTATATATAAAAAAAAAACCTTTCTTATTTCGCAAGCTTCTCTTTCGCTTTCAATATCTTTCATCAGGAAGAATCATGATGAGTTCCTGGAAGAAATCTCAAAGCTCAAATCAGTTCCTGAAATAGTATTTAGAATTGACGATCAAGTTAAACTACTCAGAGAGGAGAACAGGGATCTAGACAAAGGTATCGATTTTTATTTATCTATTTTTATTTTATTTTGGTATCAATTGATTTATCTATTTGATAATTCTTTCTATTGTATTCCTCTTATATATGTGTTTTCATATTCGTGTAGCCAACGACGAGAGGATAAGGCAACGCTCCATAAGAAACGCCGAGAGACGTCGGCACATTGAAGCTATAGAAAAGTAAGTTTAACAATTGACGTCTAGCTAAAATTTTTTTTGGGCAAATATGTCTAGCTAATTATTTATAGGATTTTTTTTGTAATAGTTTGACGATTTACATGATTATGATCAAAACTAAGTACAGATTAATGGTTAATTTTGTTAATATAGATTAAAGGAAACTCTACTCCGGCAGAAGAAAAATGAAGATCAATGAACACTGAGATCACATGAATTTTCCATACACTATACAACAAAGGCGGCTAAGAGTTTACTCTTTATTTTGTTATTTTGACATCATCCCGAATTAGAGTATTTTTATCTAAATAATGATACATCTTATCATCTGCATGTGCCTGGCTTTATAACATCATTAAATAATGTTACATTTATATATAGTGTGTCGTTTTCAATGCGATCGAGTCACAAAACAAAAAGGGAAGGTTGGATATATAGTGTGTCTTTCCTTATTCTACCTGACCTCACTATCCATTATCCATTATCTAACACTTTGACTGCAAATTTTAAATAAACTAAATATTATAATTTTTTTATATAATAGTCTATTTGATCACATAAACTAAATATAATGACAGATATATTAAAATGAATTACAAAAAATATTTGAGATTAAAAAATAAGAAAACATTATTTGATAAATGTTTTAAAGCAAAATTTTTATTTATATAGCAATCAAAACTGTTCTATTACATATGTGTTGTATCAAATTTTCTTGATTCATAAGTATTAAAATATAAGTATAATATAAGTATTTTCTTGATTGTGCGAGCTAATTCTAATTTATTGTGTGTTGAATAAAATTGAGTAGAAAAATATAGCTAATGCAAATTTATATTATTTCAGTTTTTATATTAAAATGTGAGTTAAGAATTATTTGAATAAGAAAGAGGGAATAATATATTATTTTGGAAATTGTGTTACAATAAAATATTTAATTAGATATTTCATAATCAAAAAAGAAAATGCATATATAAAAATGGATCTTTATAACTCAATTCTCTTGTTGTACGATTATTGGAGCTAATATAAGATATTATGTTAAATTTGTATCATACTTTCTAAAGATATTTATATCAAATTCTTAAAATGATTATTTCATTGATTTTATGTCAAATAAGAACATAAAAAATAGAAAAAATATTAAAGATACATGAATATAATGGAAGAGAGGGAGTGAATGTACTTATATGTTGATAATCAAGAATAGAAAATAGAGATGAATTTTCAAGGAAAAAGATAAATTATAATAATGTAAGATGTATATCAATATATCATATAGTCTCTAAAAGTTTCTACAGTTGAAATTTTATATAATAATATTTTTTTTTTCAAAACTCATACAACAAAAATAAACAAAGCAAACAAATTTCATAAAGAAGAAAATGAGAGAATGAGAGAATGATATAATGAGAGAATGAGAGAATGATATAATGAGAAAATGAGTATATATAGGAAGATAAGTGATGGGAGTTACAATTTCATAAAACAATTATGGGAGTCAATTATAATTGATTGTGTATTGAAAAAATTGAATGGAAATATAGTTAATGCAAATTTATGTTATTTCAGTTTTTATATTAAAGTGTGAGTTTAATATATATGATTAAATGTGTTTTGTGGTTTCTTTGTTTTTTTTTCAGTTTTATATTAAAGTGTGAATCAAATATAATATTTTTAAAAGTTACATGCCAAGTGGACCAATAAGAAGATGGTAAAATCTCTTATATATATAATTTGTGAATAATATGATAGTTATTCTTTGATTTAAATTCATTATATTATTTTCTCAACTGTTTGATAATAGAAAACTAAATAAATTTTGTTTGATAATCTCTTCAATTCTTCTCTTATAAATTAAATTTTAAAAATTAGAAATTATGTTATAAATAATTTATTACCCATATTAATAACTTTAAAAATGTATCTTTAAAGGAGTAGAAAAAAAAGTCATAGCAATTTTCTTTGAATAAAAAATTATAACAACTCCATTTTATGTTTAGCTTATATGATATTTAATTTAATTAGAAACTAAAATTAGGAAAAATATATTTTTGCAACAATAACACTTTTTAAAAAGCAAACCATACATGTAACATATAACTTACAACACAATATCATAAAAAAAAAATTTAAAATGTTAGATTATAAATTAATAAAAATGACACATGTCAGAAGCATAGAGCGACACATGTCGCGTTGTGAGGCAAAATTAAGAAGAAACCTTGTCTTATTATATAAGATTGTATGAATTAGGACTTCTCTAGTCTGGTATGGTCTTTACTCTACGGCTCCTCTCTGGCTATATCCCGCATTATTCTTCAAATTTCTCCCCCTTTCTCACCAATCTTGTATTCCAAGTTTGCCTTCACCAAATACCTCGTGAGGATTTAGCTCTCTTCTGTGTATGTCTTAGCTTGTTATATAGTATCTTTATCACCTGAACTCAACCACCACTTATTCTCATTGTTTCCTTTCTCTCAAAGTCCAAAGAAATATATATATATATATGTAAGAAAACTGAGAAAGCATGTATATCAAAAGGAAATGAAGAAATCCCCTACAAATGAAAGCACAAGACTACAAGAGCATTTACAAACAAACCTTGTAACATTCGTCAGGGATGCAGTCATGCAACTAACTCAAACAGAGCGTATTTGGGTCTTAGCGGCAACATACATGCTCACCTCCTAAAGCTCACTTCCTAGTTCCTCCAACATTGGATGCTATTCCAAACATTTACGTACAAGGGAGAATAAGAAATCATCTCTCCTTTATTTTTAAAGACTCCATCAAGTTCAACATGAAAGCATTAAAGTGCAGTTGAGATCCAAATTTAGTGACTGAAATCAAGAGATCAGATACAAACAGGTGGTTCCTCGACTACAATATTAATTTCGTATATATAATATATGAGTTCTAATCGAGTAAATACAATATGAAGCTTTGCGTTTTCAACAAACTGTTGGAAAGATTTGTTATCCTCCAAGATGTACTGAGACGACAATGACTTAGAAACCAGCAGGAAAAATATATTATCTTAATTATGTGTAAGTGAACTCTTCTGTTAGACTTGTGAGAAGTAATTAAGAGTATTATAGTTTTCTACTCATGCAAGTAAGTTTTAAACACGAATAGAAACCCACCATTCACACTGTAAATAAGTTAGTAGAGAAATTTGGCTCACCAAAACGTATGAGGTGATTTGCATTTGTTGTAAAGAAGAAGAGTAATTAAGTGTAAACTTAACCAAACCAGAGAATGCGTGGGGTTTCTCATGTTTGGACAATTTAGCCCTTTCAACCTATGTGAAAGGTTTGACTCAAGAAAGGGTAATCTTGTAATCCTGCAAATGATTTCTCCTATAAAACGAAAAGCGATGGATCAGTTGCTTCTGTTGCAAGCCATGGCTAATAACAAGAAGAGTATCGATGACTTTCTTGACGAGCTCGATACTATTGAGTCACTTGCTCAGAAACTGGCCAAGATTGATGAGCATTTGAAGAAGTTATACGAAGAGAATAAAGAAAATGATGATATGGAGAAGAACATTCAAGTTTGGACTCGGAGAAGCACCAACGAAGGTAGGTTAACATATATTCTCATTCCTCTCCCTCTAATTTGACCTTCTTCCTCTCTCTAATGTCTCAAATCTTTTCGTTCAATTGGTAACGCAGCAATTGCTCAAATTCTGGCCATCCGTCAGAACTTGCTCTCACCACCGCCATCAACCTCTCTTCAACCACCGGCATCATCGTCGAGGGAGTTCAACTTCTTTCCGACGACGTCAGATTCATACCCTCTTCGACCTCCCCATTCGTCTGATGGACCACGTCCGAGTAACTTTTCGTCGTCACCATCATCCGCTTTTAAACCATTCCAATCATATAATAATCCACCACGTTCGAGTCCGGCGCTGTCATCCTCCTCTTCGTCACCATCACAACCATATAAGCGACTACGTTTGAGTAACATCAATTCGGCTCCCTTATCATCCTCACCGTTACCGTTATTTAACCCGTTTCTCCTACCTCATCCCCAAGACTCAAGACTACCACAGATCCTTCAAGACCCACTTGCTCCTCCATTGCCAAATCTCAACCCACTGATCTTTCAAGACCCACTTGCTCTTCCATTGCCAAATCCAATCCCAATCCCAATCCCAATCCCAATCCAACCACGACCAAGAGTGGTGTGGACAGAGCGGCTTCAACAAGTATTTGATAGCGCAGTTGCCAGACTTGGAGGCTTGCGCAGTACGTAACTATCATCCCTTCTTTTTTTTTGCTTTATTCTTCTTTTTGTAATTTTTTTTTTTTTTGTTTGTTTTGTTTTCAGATGCAACAGGCAATCGCGTATACAACTTAATGCACACAGAGGGACTGACTAGAGAACAGGTTACTAGTCACTTACGAGTTATGAGGAACCGTCGTAGAGAACTAGCTGACGACTTAAATTCATGAAGAGATATTGAAGAAATAGGTTTTTTTTCTTCATTAATACTTGTATCAAAAGATACATTGTATAACATACATTTTTTTCTTCTCTATTTTCCCCTTTTGTTGTGAACCTGATGTTGTATATTTACTAAACGATCATATACAATTCATAAGCGTTGTTGCGTATCCTCTCTATATTATCACGACGTTTCCAGCAATTCATGTCATATATATGTATGTAGTTTGGTGGCGATTACGTTTCGTTTTTTTTTTTGTTTTTTACATTATCATAATATTCGAGTGTTTATATATATATATATATATATATTGTTAAAATAAAAGTGGTAGCTCTATAATATAGGATCGGGAGACCAAAATTTTCTAGTTGGCGAAAATATATATTTTGGTTTTCTGTAAAAATATATTATTTTAAAAATATATCTACAAAACAAATACTAACCTTAATTATGAATTATACCAACAAAACTAGGGTTTTAAATGGTTTTGACGATTGACATGTCTATGATTATTATTATTAGATGAATATGATTATTTTAGCTTTCAGTACTTTAATGCAAAGTATGCTCCGGGAGAAGGAGGATCAATGAAAAGTTAAAAACTGATGAGAGGATGAAATCAATTTCATTCGACAATAAACACGGTTAAGGCGGCTTTTTGTTATTATTTTTCTTTAACAACAATCCAATCGAATTAATTAGAGTATTTTTTCTATATAATGGTACATCTTTAGCATCTGTGTGCACCTTTTTAAAAAAATATTAATTATTATAGTTTTTAGAATGCTTTCCTATATATATTATCTTCGAGAAAACAGTAAAAAGGGAGAAGAAGAAAAGTTGTAGAGCAGTCGATCTATAGTAGAACCGTGTAACATTCAAAAAAAGAGATTATGAAATTTAGATCGGCCGCGAAAACAACATTAACCACGAAACCAGGCTAAGGTTGAGGGGATAGGTACTAATCGGATTCCGGAATATATATATATATATATATGTGAATAGTCTAAATTGTATAACATTTATTTCTTATTTTCAGTTTGTTTGATACTGGAGTTGATATCTTTGCTAGTATAGAAAGAGTTAAGAGAGCAAAGTTAACTAGAAGAGCGTCTTCGGTGATTTGCAACAATATACATACATGCACTCTATCTAAATCAGAGACCCTTAATTCGATTTGTTGCTGATTAGAGCAGAATTTGATAATTGAATTTAGGATCATAAGAAATCATTTCTCCATTATTTTTTAAGTAAATGAAACGATAAGATGGATTTATTAATCTAACTTTATGATTTCTATCATGAAATCTAAATCCCAAAGATCATCTAGATTTAATTTAATTCAACCATGAACAGTTTCTTATGAAAGAAGAAACACTAACCTTGATCCATTGCTTGATTGGGTTTGATGATGGATTCAAGTCTTCTTCACAGATTGATTTCTTCTTCCCTTACTCCTTATTGCTTTCCTGTGATCTTTGATGAAGAAGATCACTAATCTCTTTTGTTGTTTTTAATCAGTGGTGTTTTCCCTCTCAATGAGAACAACGACCGTAGAGAGTCACTTTTCAACACCACACATATATATACATGTATATTGCATCTTTCCAGAGAGTTGTGTTGGTTTATAATAACCACCTCTTTAATAATGCATAAATATAATATATACAATAATATATATGACTTATATAATATAGTTAAGGCAAGGGAAGAGGGTTATCAATACACCCGAATTCTAATTCA